TTTAGGAGGCCGAGGCAGGTGGATCACAACGTCAGGAGACTGAGACCATTCTGGCTAACACGGTGAAACTCTGTCTCTACTAAAAATACAAAAAATTAGCCAGGCGTGGTGGCGGGTGCCTGTAGTCCCAGCTACTCGGGAGGCTGAGGCAGAAGAATGGCGTGAATCCGGGACGTGGAGCTTGCAGTGAGCCGAGATCTCGCCGCGCCACTGCACTTCATCCAGCCTGGGTAACAGAGCGGGACTCCGTCTCAAAACAAACAAACAAACAAAAACAAAAAACAAAAAAAAGATTACAGGGGCACAAAATGGGTACTCAATAAATATTTTAATGAGTAAATAAACATAAGTAAAACAAGTTACCCTTATTTACAGCAAAACACAGAGATATAATTTATCATTTAAGAGAAGCAACCAGAGTTGTACATGTGCTCCAGAAATTGCTAACATTCAGCTTTCAATTCTTTAGGACAGATCCAGAAAATGTGACCTGCCTACAGAGGGAAAAGAGAGAAACAGCACCTGCCTGGGAGCAATGAGTCCTACTTAGAGTCCTGAGAGCCAAAGACAATGCAGACAGCTCTGGGCAAGTCACCTTGTCTAGATCTCAGCTCCCTTTCCCGTAAAATGAAAACCCTTCCATTTCTCTGATTCCATGCAGAAAAGAGAAGATATAAAAGGGTTACCTAATGCAGTATTTCACAAGCTTCAATCTTGATCATCTTTTCATTTTTGCCATATCCACATAACACCTTTATTGTTTCTCTTTAAATTGACTTGCATAATGATAGCTCACTGCAGCCTTGACCTTCCGGGCTCAAGCAATCCTCCTACCTCAGCCTCCAGCATAGCTGGGACTAAAGGCGCATGCCCCCATACCCAGTTAGTTTTAAAATTTTTGGTAGAGATAGGGTCTCGCTATGTTGACCAGGCTGATCTCAAAGTCCTGGGCTCAAGTGATCCTCCTGCCTCTGCCTCCCAAAGTGCTGGGATTACAGGTGTGAGCTACTGCACCTGGCCTTAATTTACTTAAAAATTTAACCTCACTTTAAGTAATAAAACTGTTAAAAGTATTTTATGGTTTTAGTTAATTTTTCTAATGTGTCTAAAGATAAATTACCAAACTTTAAATATTCAAAGATTACCTAAATTCATCTAACATACCCAAACTTTGGCAAATGGTAACCTAATTTTTATAACTGAAAATAAAAAAAAAAATTTACTTTCCCATACTATAGCAACATAAGAAAATCAAAAAATTTAAAGGACAGAGAATTGAGTAGAAAAGAAATAGAATTTCATATTCCCACAATAATGTAAGGGTTAATTCAAACTAATTAATATTCAGTTATTTTAGATGTAAGAATATTTTTTAAATAATGTGAGGCAACAAAAATTGAAAACAGAACTGATTCCTTCTTAACCTAGGTAATCTTCATCTGAATTAGGATTTTATTTCCTTTAACTTTAAAAGACTTTCATTTCACCCTTGAGTATCTAAATTCAGATTAAAATAAGAAAAGCAATTAGTTTCTTCTTTCTTAAGACCATAAAAAGAAAACAGAGATCAAAATTAAGTGCCACGTTTATTAGCAATGGAAGTGCTCTTATAAACTTATACTCTCTTTGCCTTGATCAATGCATGAGAAAATAAATGTACCTACTTCTTAACTTGGAATTCAGAGAGCAGTAGGTATTTGTGTGACAAGTTTTACTAGTCAATAAAGTTTCCCTGATCTAAATGACTCCAACTGTACTTTACAACCAAATCCATCAATAATCAGTGAGTAAGCACATGCTTGTACCTGGGCTGACATTTCCTTTCAATGTGGTGGCCAGAATACGTAACTGAGGACTACTGCTCTCTTTAGGAAATCTTGTGTGTGTGTGTGTGTGTGTGTGTGTACACATTTAGTTTTATTGTAACAAAGCAACTTGTACACTTTGAATGTTTAAAATTGAGCATCATCTTTCCTTTCCAGTGAAACAAAAAGAAAATTTAAAAATAAACAGGAACAAAATTACAATAAAGAATGTCAATTCCAAATAAGATCCTACAGGTTCTGCTGATTCTCCCATTGAGTGGCAGGGCTCAAGTCATCATTAGGAGAGAATTTATTTTTAAAA